CTCAGGAAGATTAATTTCACGATTATCTCATCACTAAAGTACCATCATTAATCTTTTCTATTTATAATTGCATGCAGTGAAAAAAAAAAAAAAACTCAATTTTGCATAAATCTGAGTAATTTAAGCCTAAATCTCACTTGGTTTATATAAAAACTTACAGCATGTGAATTAAAACCAAGTCTTAATCACAAGTATTAGATGAGTAAAGTCAAATTGGCTTGGCTGGAATGGCAGCTTTATATCTGTGCTGCCAGGCTTGGCCCCCAAGTTCAATCCTCCAGTCTGGGCGCCTCTCAGACAGCCTGCCTGCAGCCCCAGGAGAGCCTTCTATCCTGCTGCGTCTGCTCTTCTTTCTCCTCACACACATCCATCCTGCCTGGTCGGCCTGTCAAACCCTGGGTTTCCTACAACCCTTCTACCTCCTTTTATTGTCCTCCATCCCTCCACCTCTTCCCTGTCTCTTCCTCCGCTCCACTGGGCTTGTGAAGGTGAGCCAGTCCCCAGTGGTGCCACTGTACAGATTGCAATGCTTCCTCCTCAAATGGTGGCTGCTCTCTTGTGAATACACTCATTTAGAGAGTGGCTGGCTTGTTTCTCATCTTCATCTTCCTTCATCTTTTGTTAAGCTATTTTTTTATCTGTTACAGCAAACACTCCTATATGCCATTATTATTTAGTCCATCATTCTGCCAGGTCAAATGAAGGAGACTCAAGCTGTTGGGTGTGTCACCTAAAAGCAAGGCTAATGAAACATAAGCACCCTCAGAGGTTTTTGGCCAGTTTAGTGACAGCTGTCATCCAACCACTTGTCCTTTAAATCTCTCTTAGGAGCAAATTGTAAGAAGAGCAATGACAAAAGAATTATGAATATTTCAGTCATGCTGTAATATATCTTTACCTCCAAAGTCTAACCATTTTTGATAGATTCCATCTGCAAATTCACAGTAAATGTCTTTAAGTTCTCCTTAACTTTTCTCAGTCAGTTGAATGTTGAAATATTCCATTGTATTTAGCTGATTTAGTGTAATTTGTGTTGTTGGACTGAATATACTTTACTTAGAACGGATTAAGAATATACCCAAGATAAGAATTATTTTTTATAAAGTTATTGTAGTCATAGTATTTTGAAACTTAAATATGCCGGACTAAAAACGTTATTGGATTTTTCTCACCATCTTTGTCTAAATTTCACAGGATTTCTTACTAGTGTTAATAAAATATTAGTTGAAGTACCATATACTAGTTTAGTTGTTAACAATGACAGAAATTTCATATTTTGTGCATGTCTGTTTTTGAGCTGAACTCCTATTCACAATTTTACTTGTGTTCACTTGGATGCTTTTGTGAGCAGCGCTGTCTGGCTGTCCTCTTGTTGCAGGTTATTTCACTGCCTTTCTCGTTTGTCTTTCTGCAGGTTTTTGGAGATTATTATCACTTTAGGCACCATGCTGTGGAGAGGAGGGCATTGTCTGGCCACAAGGGGATGCACATCAAACTGCAAAAAGAACCACAGGTAAGCTGTCAGCACTCAAACAACCCACTGTGGCACTCCTTGTTGGCAACAAAAACCAAATGACAGATTGGATTGCACATCAACTGTGTATGTATTACTAGAGATAAAGGGGTGGCAGCATTAATGACAGCTTGTCAAATTTTGTTTACTTTAAAAACCTTGTCTTTTCATCTGTCTCCCTGACCCAATCAACAGTGCAACTTAAAAAGTATTATTAGGTTTTGATCACAGTAACAATAATGAACAAGAATTGTTATATAAATCATAAGAGCAATTTCTGAACATTTAATTTTATGTAACTCTAAAATTTTTGTCTCTGTGTACAAGATGTTGTTCAGAGTGCAAAAGTGCCATGTAGGGCAGTGATTTGTTTTTTTCCTTCCAGGGGGTTGAAGACAAAACAATTTATTTTGTATCTGAGTTGTTGCTGAGTAAAAGGGCAAGTATGGCAGCCTCCAGCAATTCCCGGCAGCTTGTGTTGATTGTATTTCTTTATCTAAAGAAGATAAAATTTCACAATTTTTTAAACGTTTTGTTGCACTTTTTTGCTTCATTCCATTCACAAAAGATCCCAACAATATATGTGAACTGTGAAATGCTAAAATGCACACAAATTAAAAATTACACATTTAAATTATGCATGAAAAATAAATTAACATTATGATCACTGTCTATATGTTTATGTATGTCTCAATTTTAACGATTAAAACAGTTCTGGTTTGGATAATAAAATGTGGAGTGTCATGGGATTTATGATACCTTGATAATAGAAAATTATTCTCTGAGCCTGTGAAAAGTATTTTTTTTTTGTTAGGTTTACTTTCCTATCAATTCCCATTTGAATTACATTAAAGGGGGTGCTTTCATCATGTGGGTGTGTGATTAGTCTGAAAACATGTTTAAGGTAATATGGTCAAAATAATAGAAGTATAATTGCCAGGATCTTGGTTTTCCTACAGTGCCAATGCTTTCTAACAATCACATATTTTGTCGTTGATCATAATGTTTTGGCTTATGTGTGTATTTGAAATATTTAGTTCTGTGGAATGGTTATTTATTTTTTTGATGATCTTGTGCATTTGATTCTCATTTTAAATTCCAGCAAACTATGAAAACATTCAGATACGATGAAGAATAATATGTTCTCCGTATCTTCATCTAATCTTCTCTTTGCAGTTGAAACACAGCTTTAGAATTATTGGATTCCTAAGGTTCTTATATAATAAAATTCATGTGTCTAGAAACTCGATTGTCAATCCTTTAAATTAAACTCAAGGCAATGATGAACTTCATAAAGCTGAAACTTAATTTCAAAGCAAAACATGCATCTCTAGCCTCTAGGTCAAACCACATTAAAAAGAAAATAATGGTTGAAAACAGTGAAATGATATCTTTAAAAAAAAAAAAAAAACTCTTACAATAAAAATGGTGATTAAATGTGAACTTTATCCATTATTACCCTGCTGTTTTGGAATAGCAAGCAGGAGATGATAGTTTATATAAAAATACAGTGCCTTGCATTCGGCCTTGTATTTAGCCTTGTATTCGGCCCCCTTGAACTTTTCAAGCTTTTGCCACATTTCAGGCTTCAAACATAAAGATATAAAATTTTAATTTTTTTGTGAAGAATCAACAACAAGTGGGACACAATCGTGAAGTGGAATGAAATTTATTGGATGTGTCAAACTTTTTTAACAAAAAACGGAAAAGTGGGGCGTGCAATATTATTCGTCCCCCTTGCTTTAATTCTTTGTAGCGCCGCCTTTTGCTGCAGTTCCAGCTGCAAGTCTCTTGTGTCTCTATCAGTTTTGCACATGAAGAGACTGAAATTCTTGCCCATTCTTCCTGCAAAACAACTCGAGCTCAGTGAGGTTGGATGTAGAGCGTTAGTGAACAGCAGTCTTCAGGTCTTTCCACAGATTCTCGATTGGATTCAGGTCTGGACTTTGACTTGGACAATCCAACATCTGGATATGTTTATTTGTGAACCATTCCATTGTAAATTTGGCTTTATGTTTTGGATCATTGTCTTGTTGGAAGATAAATCTCCGTCTCAGTCTCAGGTCTCTTGAAGACTCAAACAGGTTTTCTTCCAGAATGGTCCTGTATTTGGCCCCATCCATCTTCCCATCAATTCTGACCATCTTCCCTGTCCCTGCTGACAAAAAGCAGGCCCAAACCATGATGCTGCCACCACCATGTTTGACAGTGGGGATGGTGTGTTCAGGGTGATGAGCTGTGTTGCTTTTACGCCAAACATATCGTTTTGCATTGTGGCCAAACAGTTCGATTTTGGTTTCATCTGACCAGAGCACCTTCTTCCACATGTTTGGTGTCTCCCAGGTGCTTGTGGAAAACTTTAAACAACACTTTTTTATGGATATCTTTGAGAAATGGCTTTCTTCTTGCCACTCTTCCATAAAGGCCAGATTTGTGCAGTGTACGACTGATTGTTGTCCTATGGACAGACTCTCGCACCTCAGCTGTAGATCTCTGCAGTTCATCCAGAGTGATCATGGGCCTCTTGGCTGCATCTCTGATCAGTCTTCTCCTTGTTCGAGATGAAAGTTTAGAGGGACGGCCGGGTCTTGGTAGATTTGCAGTGGTCTGATACTCCTTCCATTTCAATATGATTGCTTGCACAGTGCTCCTTGGGATGTTTAAAGCTTGGGAAATCTTTTTGTATCCAAATCCGGCTTTAAACTTCTCCACAACAGTATCTCGGACCTGCCTGGTGTGTTCCTTGGTCTTCATGATGCTCTCTGGGCGTTGAACAGAACCCTGAGACTATCACAGAGCAGGTGCATTTATATGGAGACTTGATTACACACAGGTGAATTCTATTTATCATCATCAGTCATTTGGGACAACACTGGATCATTCATAGATCCTCACTGAACTTCTGGAGTGAGTTTTCTGCACTGAAAGTAAAGGGGACGAATAATATTGCACGCCCCACTTTTCCGTTTTTTATTTGTTCAAAAGTTTGACACATCCAATAAATTTCATTCCACTTCACGATTGTGTCCCACTTGTTGTTGATTCTTCACAAAAAATTAAAATGTTATATCTTTATGTTTGAAGCCTGAACGTGGCAAAAGGTTGAAAGTTCAAGGGGGCCGAATACTTTCTCAAGGCACTGTATTTCATAATGTAGGTTTTCATATTTAATAGGCAATTAAATTACATTTTGCAGTGACTAAAATGGTTACAAATGTATTGGGTGCTTTTCCTGCTCTTGCCCTCAAACAACAACAATGGCAGTGGCCGCAGCCACCTTCTATAGATGGATTAATGCTGGACTTGAAACAGGCTTTGTTACTGTAGGCTCTGAACCAACACTGTTTATCACCTGGTTTTGTCTTGTCTTCATCCAGAGCGGACATTAATCAATGCTTTGGAATATTTAGCAGTCAAAACCCTTGTCTTGATTTGTTTTTAATGTTCTTTAATACTAAATATATAATGTGTTGACTAGCTGTGACTATTTTGGCTGAAATGTTGCTCAAGTCTTCTATAACAAAACTTTGGCTAGCTATAAAAGAAGTTTATCTAAAAAGAAATGGTCAGAGTAATGCAAACTATTGAATCTAGTTTGGACATTCAAGTGCTGGTTTTGAAAGCTGCATACTGCACGGTCTGTGAGCAAGACAAACCATATGAAGGAAATTATAGTCTCATCTACAGACAAAACAAATGTATTACTTTATGGGTAAATGACAATTTAAAGTAATAAAAATGTTCTGTAAATATAGCCTGAATCTTACTTTTTGACATCCTATGAATAACAATGTATACCAGCATGACACTGATGCAAGGTATTGGTTGACAATCTTTTATTTCAACTAAAATAGTTCAAGACAGCTAACAAACAGCCAATATAGGTAATGCATTAAATTTATTGGCACTTAAGAACCAAGAACTGTATTTCCCTTTCTGTTTAAATTATATATTAAGTTAGATCAATTGCCTTGCCATGAACATGCTTTTGTTTTAAAGCTCTTATTAGTCTTTGCAGATGCAAATCAGTAAGTCATCTTACCTGGTAGTCCAAAAATTCTCAGTCGGGTCATCTGGACAGTTTCTTTTTTAAAGAGATATCTCTTTAAAAAAGAGACTGTCCAAATGACCCGACTGAGAATTTTTGGATTGGGTACCTGGATGATTGAGCATGAACTTTGTTGCCTTACCTGATAGTATTTTGAAAGTGGTGATGTAGCTTGCAACCAATTAAATACTGCCTGCCTCAGCCTTCATTTCCAAGCATGTAGGAGAAATTCAAATCAGAAACCTAGTAAAAGGCAGCATCTTGAGGTGAGAGCTTATCTAAAGGTGGTTAAAAAATAGTCTGTTTTGACATTCTTCTTCACTTACTAAATATAGGTGTACAAATATAAATGGTTAACTCAAAAGCTTTTTTTTTTTCCAATATGTGTTTGCACAGTTTTCATATATTTTTCTCCTTTCCCTATTGCAGAAAATTACCAATATTGCATTAAAGTTGAAGAGAAAACAAGAGAAAATAGAACAAATGCTATCAAAATAGAAATGAGTAAAATGATGTGCTGAAAATGCCACTGTTATGTTGAATGTTTCTAAGTTGTTGTCGTTTTTTTCTCTATTCTTATCTTCTGGATGGAGAATGTATTTATGCAGAGGAGCATGGCAACAAAAGCACCAGAAGAAGAAATAAAGCAAATAGACTAAAGAACAAAGCAGGCAGACCTGCTGTTAATATGTCCTCGCACCACTGTCCCTGCAGGCCCTAGCAAGGCCAGCCAAGCTCAATGTGGGCCGCATGCAAACAAAGGAGGAGAAAGCAGAGGGGTCCAAGATGCATCAAACATCCCCACCCCCGCATACAGCTCTGACCCAGACAGGCTGCTACCAGTATGCTGTGCCTGCCCTGTTACGCTGTACATATAAAAATGTCAATATTTATTTCTTGTCAGGTCTGAAATAATGTGGAGCATAAAAACTTTACGTGCTCAGTGACAGAT